AAATTAAATACATACTGTATGAGCAATGTTTAAAATATATGTTAACAGACAAAAACTGTAATAATAAAAACAAATCCAAAGAGCCAAGATGAAGATTTTTGTTTACATTTTCACAGAACACCTTTTTGTGGATTTAATCTTTATTAATTTATTATTTAATTTTTATTTGTATAGGGGAAAAGTATGAGCCAGCGCCATATATCAAAGCATTTTTTAGCATCAGCTAATTTGCGATGCATCTCCCTAGATGAGTCAAATCATTTGCAAACAACAGTATAATAAAATGACTGTTGTTACAAACAAATAAAACAACCTACATACCCACTAGTTATTTACAGTCTAGGACTTTGAGAATTATCTTCTAGATTTTAGCTAAACAAACACATTACTCAAACCTGTACGTATAAAACATTTAAAGTGTGGCTGATTTCAATGCCTCACCTCTGGGTCGTGTCTGAGGCCGAGTTCCTCTGCTGCTCTGAGCTTCACTGGCCTCCTCAAACCAGCGGGACAACATGTCCGACATCCTCTGCATCAGAGACACGTTTGGGCTCTGCTCTCCTACAAGAGGAAAATGTTTACAGGTTCATAGCTGGACGCACTAATACAAACATGACAAAAGCCAATGTGTTGGGACAGTGTGTTAACATCACACAACCTCCTGTTCACAAGACATTTCACAGAAGAGGCTGCTATAAGATTTCAATAACGTAGTTCATAGGATTGTTGAAAAGAAAAAGAAACAGAAACAGGAGAGTTCATTTAACCAAATATTGATTTAGTGACTGAGACTTGTGTTTTGCAATTTGAACCATTTCACAGAGTGACGACGAAGGGAAAAAGAGTAATAAAAGTTCAGTGATTGTGACAGGGACATTGAAGTGAAACACAGACACGACAGACCATTTTACAGAAGTCTTTCAAGCCTATAGGGGGTGAGACTTTGAGACTTTTCGGTGGGTGTATCACCTATAATTGGGCTTCTCAAATTAGGTTATTCTTTCATATATATATATTATAATATATTTTTTTTTTTTTTTTTGGAGCCTGAAGCATTTTCAGCTGATTGTTTTGGTTTTACAGCCCACAACTTTATTGTTTTGGTTTGGTTCACTCTCATCAGTGTCATTTCCGGCAGCTGTTTGCAGTGAAAAAGCTTTAAAAACCCACTGTACACTATGTGCTCAGCAACAAACAGCAGACAGACACATTTAGCAACTAACTGGTGAATATAGTGGAGCATTTAGCAGCTAAAGAGTCAAATATTTCCCTCAGGAGGAGGTAGAGACCAAAAACAGAGCTAAAAAAAGAGTCATTACTGTACTTAGATTCATCAGGGGATTTTAAATAGTTGCTAGTGTTGCTCCGTATCTACTGGATGTGTAAACAGAAAACGGTTTGCTAACATATTTGCCATATCAACGTAAAGTTAAAAAGGTAAAAAAATTTGTGAATCAATGCAGGTTTAACCGTTTGAGGGGTTTAGGGGGCAACATTTTCGTGTGTTAAAGTTGACGAGCTGCAGTTAAACAGCTCACTAAATGTTAAATGTGAGATAAAGAGACATTTTTATGCTCTGATTTTACATACTTGCAAGAAAATAATAATTACTTTATAATAAAGGACTAAAGAAAAACAAAAAAAATTATGAATTTGCAGGAAAGACTCAAGAGGAAATTCATGTGGAGTCCTTTGGGAAATTCTCTTAAGGCGCCAGATCTGTAACTGGAACTTGTGTAACTGGAACATGTCAGCTGCAATACTGATCGCACTGATCTTACCATCTCTCTCCCTCTCGCTCTCGGGACGAGCTCGAGGTCCAGTGTCAGACCAGTCACCTCGTAGACGGAGGCGCTTCACTGGAGGCTGCCTCAACTGTGGAAACACACACACACACACACAGAGTGAGAGAGAGAAAGATTAGCAGTTTGTCAGTCAAAGCATGGTCAAAAATAGCTCCGCTGCCAAAGCAAAACACTGCTCGTCTCTGTCAGTGTCCTCTTTAAAGTGCCCCCCTCCCTCCCTTCTGGCTGCACGACTGAGGTTGCCTTCACTTTCCTGTCCCCTGGCTCTCTCTGCAGGGCAACAGGCTGAGAGCCAGAAATAGAAAAAAGGGGTCTTAGTGCAGGGACTATCAACTGTTTTACTCAGGAACTGTCATCAGGTCTGGATAAGGGCTGGAGGTGGTGAAAAGGAGCAGAGGCTGAAAGAGATAGCAGAATAAATAAGAGAGAAAAAGACCCTGAACAAGTGAGGTTACAGGTTGGGGGGGGAGGAGAGAGAGGGGTAATGAGCCTTTGCTTGGCTGTCCCTCCACCTCAGCCTGAACTATTTTGGACGATAGAGGAACACTGCCTGCGTCGGTCGCTGTATTTGGAAAGGAATGTGTGTGGTGGTTGCATCTCGACACAGCTGAACTCACCACGGGGCTTTGAAACACTGGCACCATGATCCAGCACATTCAGACACACGTGAAGACCAGTACTCGCAGTAAACACGTCAGTTTGTCTGAGCTCCAATTTTGTCTGGTTGCTCATTTATCTGACAGATAAGATGACCTAAATACAGCAAAGAACAAATAGATCTTTAAAAATGGCTCGGATTTGGTTTGAATCGATAATCATTTGTGCCTTTTTTCTCTTTCTCGCTGCATTTCTTTCTCTCTCCTCTGTTGTTCAGGGTCATTTGCTCCCCTCCCTGCACTGCATCAGCCGATGTCTGCAGTGCTCTTAGAGAATCAGGCAGCCATAACACCTTTGTTCTGCTCGTGTATCATGACTGTCTGCCTTAAAGACAAGTGCTTATCTTTATTTTCTATGATACACATTATAAGTTGTACCAGTTGAGTACAGCTTAATCATGTGTGTTTTTTAGCATTTTAATTAATTTAATTAAGAGTGTATGAAACAAGAAACACCATGTTTAAGTATAAGGGCTATACCTGCTCTCAAGTTGTTATTGAAGAGGCAGCCGCAGCCCTTCTGCAGCCTTTCTCTGCATCAGATTGTCACTATACTCTTTAAATAGAGCTGTTAGATAAACCGCCTGAGACCGCGTTAGTCGTGAGCCGAAATAGTAACAACAGCAGCATTTTTGATACTCGACCAATTGTTTCAGTTTTTAAATCAAGAAAGAAATGTCAAAATGTGTCCTGCTCCGGCTTCTTGTAAGTGAGGATTTGTTGCTTTTATTTCGTTTATATCATATTGAAGTGAATATCTTTGAGTTTTAAACAAGGCATTCAAAGACGTCACCTTAAGACTCTCAGAACTTGTGTGTTTAGAACTATGTTTGAAGTCAGGCAAGCAGCGTGGCTCTAGGGATGGTAGTGCTGATGGCTAACGTTTGCCAGTTAGCACTAAACACAAAGTACAGCTATGGCTGATGGGCCTGTTGTCATTGTTGCACACAGTTCCTATCAGGACTTATGTGATGTTACAAGAGCTCCATGACTCGAGTCATCCCGCGCTCTCACCTCCTCCCTCCTCTCCTCAGACGGGCCCTTCAGCTCTCGGGCCTGGTCATCTTTGGGATCGAACAGGTAGATGTAATCGGAGGAGTAGCTGACCAGCACCTCCTGACCGTCCTCGCTGTAGCAGAGAGAAGTTACGCGACACGACTTGTTGGACAGGTGAGCTGGAACGAACCTCACGCACATGCCCGTCGTCCCCCGGCCCATGTAGTTACCTGAGGATGAGAAAGAGTGAAAGCAGCAAGCGATGGTTAGACTGTCAGCTGCATTGATGGGATTCTGACATGTATTAATGGGCCTGTCTCTGACTATTTGGTTGATGTGCTGCAGAGACATGCCTTTGGTACAGCCTTCAGATCCTCAAACTCTTTGTTGCTCACTGTACCAAACACTAAGACAAATTGTGTAATTCTTTGCCTCTGAACAAGGAAAATAACATCAATCAATGCTTTCACGCTCTGGTTAAAAACTCATCATTTTACCCTCGTTTTTGCTTATAATCTTTTATTACATTACATATTAAGTCAACTGACATTTTCATATGCACCTCTGCTAAATACCAAATTTTTATAATTATTTTTGACTTATTTTATTGCTGTTTCACTTCCTTCCTCTTTTCCCAACAAAACAAAAATAAAAGCAACATTTTCATACAAATGTATTAATTTGATTCTGTTGTTATTTTCTATATTTGATGATACAAATTAAAACCTATAAACTTAAAAGCTAATGTGACTCTGCTGTATCTGCACAGATATAAAGACAGAGAAAGCCAGTGATGTTTACCTGTCGCTCTGGTGCCCAACATGCGTCTGTCATAGATCCGCACCGAGCTGTCGGAGCAGCCCACAGCCAGGTAGTACGGCACCAGGGGAGAAATGGATATAGAGGTCGCTGCCCTTCGACAGTTTATCAGGATGTCCTGAAATCAAAGCAAACATAATCAGGTTTTAAAAGCCAAATTATACGGTAAGTCCATGAGCCCTAGTCTAAAGTCAGAGGCGGTATTTTAAGAATCAGTTTTTACAGTAATATAGATCTGAGGGGACAATCAGGGTCCGCCTGAGAAATTCAGATAAATTATCTTCATTTTTTATTCTCCAGCTGCGGACGTCCACCGACAGGTTGTAGGATAATTAAGAGGGAGAGGTAACAGAGTCAGGGGAAACTACTCTGACAGTTTTAAGGTCACAGGTACTGATCTCCGGCATGAAATACGAGAAGATGCAACACAATCTAGAGGGAACAGCTTCTCTCACACACACAGCTTCCACTGATGTATTACTCTGAAAGCTGTTTGTGAAGGGAGCACTGCTGAGGACAAATGTAGAAACTGTGGGAGAATGATTGTAGCATCATCAATACCACAAATACCTATATTATACTATATACCTAAGACATACCTATTCCAATAGCCAATATAAAAAAAGGTAGTATGTCAATAAAATGCAAAAAATATATATGAATAAAATAAAGGAGGTAGCAGAAACTTCATAGACTGAAATATAAATTTACAACATTAAACATTCTTGGCTGTCAGATTTTATATGAGATCATGTTTTTTATTTAAAATATATCCATTACACATTATTATTAACTACACATTTTAAAGAACTAAACTGTCAGGACCAGTAACCTGAAAAACAACATTATGTGTGATTTTCCACAACAAAAGAAGAAAAACTGATCCTCACTAATTAACAAGTAAACAGATGAGCTCCACCCTCAGTGTCCATGCATGATCAATGACCAGCTGAAAGAGGATAAATATCACAGCTGTCACCGTACATCTTTGCAGTCTTCTTTAGTGCAGCTTGTCTTCATGCGAAGGTCAAACCATCGCACCGTGCCGTCCTCCCCACATGACAGAAACGTGTAGGGGTCATTTGGTACCGTCATAATCTGACAAAACAAATTGAGGCTGAGGTTAGGAGGCAGCAACCCTGAGAGAAAGATACTGAAATAGCTTTCTTGCCTAGTACCTCATAAGCTGTTCCATAATGGCAGGTGAACTGACACTGTCTGTTGACCTCGGGACTCTTCTCAGTGTGGGTGTAGTAGATGATGCCGTCTCCGGAGCAGGAGATGATCTCCTGGCCGTTGGTGTGGGGCATGAACTTAGCACTGAAGATATTTGCCCGATGACCTGAACGTATGGACTTCTTGACCTGAGGAAGAAAACCAAATAAATACAAGATGGCTGAATGGGGAGAGTTCTTCTTCGCCGCTCTTAAAA